TGCGCGACTCGCTCGACGTTTGTTTCCTTCCTCCTCTCGTTGCGGAGCGTGTTCCCCTCCCCTCCCCTCCCCCCCCCCCCGCGCGGGAACTCCCGCGCGTCCGGCACGGCTGCTGAGTCTCGTTATTGAAATTAACCGGCGTGTAATCAGCCCATAAGCACGATACCTTAAACGGACGGGTTAAGGCGCGAAATCTGCAGTTTGTGGGACAGCAGCGCGCGCCCGCGCGCCGGTAGCAAGGTGCGAAATCCATATTTGGCGATGCTTCGATAAATCTGCGTCGGGACAGAAACGAAACTCCAATCTTCTTATTATTATACGCGTGCTTTCTTCCCGTTTATTGCACGACCGACTCGATCGTGTGTATGTGTGTGTGTGTGTGTGTACGGTCGGACGTTCCAGCGTGCTTTCCTTCTTTTTCATTCTTTTTAATTGCCTCGCCACAAAGGCGGTCGCATCTGAGCGCGCGCGGCGCTAATTTAACGGGTCAGCAGGTGCGACGCGGAGCGGGAGAAGCGTTTTCTATCGAGTCTTTTCGTAATTATTTAAACATTGATTATTAACAAAGATGTTGTTCGCTTCGCGGATATATATATATGTTCACTCACACCAATGTGCATATTTTTACGCGAGGACGAAATTTGTTTGGGAAGGACAAGTTTCGGATGCTCACGCATTTTTCTCGGCATTCTCGGGATACCGAAATCACGTGCCGCTGCAATCCCGACGCACGCTTCGGCTCGGGCATTATCCGCGCGATGCGCTCTAACGTGCGCCTTTGCCGAATTTAATTTACGACCACGCGAACCATAGTTCTGGCAAATCACTCGGACCCGAGCCAATTATTAACCCATCATTCTTCGCGAGAAGTGCTTTTCCCGCGCGTCTTTTCTCTCCCTTTACCTGTCGACCGGCGTCCGAACGTCGTCCGATTTAATTTGGTCCCTGTGATCTCGGCAGGAGCGTGTGATCGCGCTCGATTATGGTCGCGGCACCTGCTTAAGCCGTCTCCGAGCCGCCCATGGCAAAAAGTCTCACACACACACACACACACACACACACACACACACACACATATACACACGAGCGCGATCTCCCTCGACCCGCGATGATTACGAATGCGATTCGCGTGCGAGACTCGGCGTCGTGTCCGCGATCAGCTTCATTGAAATCCACGAGCCGGCCAAAAAGACGTGCTAATGAGCAAGACGTGCGACTGATTACAGAGAGCGGTGCCGCGGGAGGGGGAGGCACGCGTTAAGTGGAAAAGGAAGACCACCTTCGAGCAGACAAAAATCCTTCCGCTTCGGAAGGTAAGAGCCGAGCCGATAGGAGGTCGCCAGATGTCTCGCGACGACGTCGCCGATACACACTCGACCGCCAAGAAAGTGTCATAATCTCGGGCTTTGCTCCCGCCAGCTGGCTAATTTCCTACGCGCCGAGAGCGCGGCGCAAATGACGCTCGGCGGCACGTATATAATGCGGACAGTCGGGAACGATAAAAGCGGGAAGAGGGAGACTCGAGCGGAGACAGCGCGAGCGCGTGCGCTTTCAAGTCTTTGCGGGCCCCGACGGTGTGTACATTTTTACATCGGTAATTACGTAGCGATTCGCATTGCGTCGGCCAGATGGCGGATTCCGAAAGACGCAGGGTGCCACGTCGTAAAATTGAGCGGGAAAATGAAGGAAGGAAAGAGGACGTTTCGACGCGAATATATCGTGAAATATCGTGAAAAATCCAAAGCGACGATGTTGGAAAAGTCGCTCAAAGATGGCGGCCAATACCGCAGGTTGACTCCAGTCGCAGGCATTTAGGACGTTGATTCGTATTATTAAACTGAGCGCTTGCGGTAACGCGTTTTCAGCTTGCGAAATGCATCGCCACTTATCAACATATGCGGGAAGAACAGGAAGTCTCTCTCTCTCTCTCTCTCTCTACGGCCGCATACTAATCACTTACACACGACGTACGAGTTACTTGACGACTCTATTAGCGCGATTACTCGTTGCCGCCGTGTTACTTCGCGTCAGTAAATTAGTATCCGGCGTCCGGTGTACACGACGATTCTCGCGCGCGCGCGTGCGAGAACGTACGTCCGACAAGACCCAAGTAGGTGACCACGAGGATGATTTCTGCGCGTCGCGACGTGCACGTAATTTCCGCGGGTATTGCGCTTCCCGGCAACAGTCACGTGGAAACGACGAACTTCGAGACGATGATGACGACGACGAGCGATTTCGTGCTCCATTCAGAGTTAAGTGTGCTGCGGAACTCTCTGTGACCCTGCGAATTCAGAGTACAGGAAGTTCCAAGAACGCTAGTTGTAGGAGGTCGATTGACCCGACGGTCAATAGTGTCCGTCCAGTCCACACAATTGAAACGGTAAACCCTTCTCTGCTCCCTCCGAATTCTCTCTCTCTCTCTCTCTCTCTCTCTCTTTGATCCATCCATTCTCGAGCGTCGCGATCGGTCACGAGCTCGGTTTCATTCACAATCTCGCGATGAACGCGCACAATGACGCGTTTTTGGCACGTCCCGCCGGAGCCGGGCGGTTATCTAGACAAATCCTCGGCTGAAATACCGGCGGGTTTCATTGAGCCACCGTAGCCACCGAGCGGCAATTTCGCGGCGGCATTGACTGCGTCTAAGGCGACACTTGGCAAGCTGAATTGGCAGGAAGCCCGGGCATCGCTTAACTCCTCTTTCAATGAGATTATCATCGGCTACTCGGCTCGCCTGCCGCCGAGCCCGACTTCATTCGCATTGTCGCTCCGCGCCGACTACCGGCGCGGCGATTCACCGAGAGGTGGCGAGACGTGGTGGATTATCCAAAAACCCTTTCCCGAGAGCGAGACTTTCGAGAGTGGACGGTCGTTAGCCGAACCGGTGGGATCGTGAAAGCCCTGGCTGACGTTTGTTCCTCCCCCCCCCCTCCCCTCCCCGCTCCTCGTCGGCGAATAGTTGATCGCAAGGAACGCGTCCACCGCTGCGTTTATTTTCCACCGAACTCGTACCAAAGCTCGACCGATGACTGATTATTCATCAATAATAACGGGAAATGAGGTTACCGGAGAGACTTTGTCACGCGATATTCAACAGAAAGCAACTCCGTGTCTCGTCGTTTGTATTCCGGGGGCTAAAGGGGCCAATTAGAGAGGGGCGGATTATCGCGCTGTAATCGCGGAATAATCGAGCGCGTCTTGTAATTTCTTACACGACGACACGAGCGGAGTGAGTGTCTCTTGGAGACGAGACTCCTATTGCGACGCTTCGCGCCGAAGAGGTCTTTGCGGTCTCCCGTCACGTACGCGTTTCCCATTATTCGTCGTTAACACACTTTTAACACAGTTCTAACGACGAATTGTCCGTGTGTGCCTTAGGTTGCACGTGAGGGGGCTCTAATTGATGCCGAGTCGAACTAGCCGGGAGCCACTTACCGCAAAGCTCCCTCACGTGTATTAGCGTAATTAGCGCCGGTCAAGTGACTGCGTAATCATTGGTCGTACGAACTGAAATAATGGGAACTGGGAACACGTTGGTCTAAGTGAATTAGACCGCTGCGCGGCCGTCCCGTCGACGTTTTTATTCTTCTCCCCCGTGTTGCTTTTCGCTGAGCGCACGCGCTCCAATGCTCTGCCATTTACGAGCGGCCCGAGAACAATGCTCCCCCGCGCGACTATCGATTTCCCCCCCCCTCTCCCCGCCTCCGGCCACGGCCCCGGCGCCTTCTTATTCGGCGTGTCGGCTATAGTCGGCTAGTGTATTCCCTCGTGGACGCGGTGAGGCATTTAAAATTCAAATGCATAGCGAGCCATTACTCTCTACTCGATTATTCTCACCTGTACAAGGGCCGATCACGGGGCGTTGTCCCGTTTTACCTTACAACACCTAAACCTTCTCTAAATTCCTCCGAATGAAGCTCTACTTGAGAAACAGAAAGGACAACACACACACACACACAGCCGAGTCGCGTTCCAAGCGGAGCGACTCGGCGATGATGCTTCGCGTCCGCTCGGGTAGAGCGAGTTCTCCGCTTCGTCCTTCGTCCGCTGAATCGTCGACGAAATATTTCTACTCGACGACTACCGTGAACAATGCATTCAAGCCGCGAACTGGGTCGCGGAAGAATATCGCGACGCGATATTCCAAGGCCCGCCGTTATCAGCGAGAACGTCGATCATTCGCGCGCTCGTGATGCATCGCGGGCGATTCCGCTCGGCCCGAATTTCAATATAATCTCCGCGCTCTGACGTCCGTGTCACGCTTCTAACGACGTGTTATCATCGCGCGATATTCTCTTATCGTGACAGACGCGTCGGGCTGTCGCGCGAGCGATTAATCGATTCAACGCGCCCTGAGAAGCCGCGCTCGCGCGGCTTCGGATATGTTAACGAGCGGCGCGACACCGTCGCGATAGCATCGTGTACACGCGAGCGTTTACGGATTATAATTGGCCCGTAATTAATGACAACGCCATTATTGACAGGTGAGGGGAAGCGTGTGTGCGCGCGCGCGTCGCCGCGCCGCGCCGCGCCGCGCCGCGCGAGTCACTTCGCCTCTCGGCCGACCGCGCCCCTTGATCTCGTTTTAGGCTCCGCTTATTTTCGGAGAGACTTAATTGCTCCGAGCGGTTACGGCATAATCACCGTCACGGTGCACGCAGATCGTGAGATATCGCGCGGCGGCACTCGCGCGAGTGTTTACGATCGTGCCCGCGCCTCCGGTGCGATCGGCTCGCGCGGCGCGACGGCGACGGCGACGAGCAATTTTTGCCGGAACCGGATCGGTGCGTCGGTACGGAGCAGATAAACAGTCGGCCGGAGGATTTAATGATATCGCACGCATCGTTACGCAACGGCTTCTCCTTACACCGGCCGTTGCCAGAGAATGGCCAGATCGCCGCGCCGCGCGCGAGCTTGCGTAACGCGCGCGGTTCGATCTGATTTTTTCATCGACTTGTTCATTGATTCATCATCGTCAAATAACTAACAGCCCTGTATACATACATGATATTTATTGACAGTTTCTTTGGTTTCGTCAGACTTGTGCGCGCGAGCTCTCCTCGTGAGAGCGGGCCGAGCGATATGGATGTGTACGTATAATATCCATCCACGGTGGCGGGTGTTTTGCATGGAAAAGATTTATTTTTCAAAAAAGCGCGATACACGTTTACAGTGCGTATCGACGAGGGACAACGATTAATAACTATGTCGTATATGGTGTATACTCGCCTAAAATTGATTGATATCGGTAAATGACTTAGTAAATTCCGTTTAATATCACAACACACGATTTCCTCACTTGATCTCGTAAGCGCCGAGGTTGCCTTTGCGTCTCCTCGACGTGCTGGACCAGCCGGCAGCCGTGCGGTTAATCTGGCCGATCGATCGCTTCACGTTCGCCCGATACTCGTCCTCGTAAGCATGGAGATACAAGTTCTTGAGGAAGATTTGATTATCCAGCTCGGAGGCCGTCAGGAACCGCTTGGAGCGGCTCTGCTGCTGCGCCTCCAGCTCGTCGAAGGTGAACTGTTTTGATTTAACGTCGGCTGCGTGGCTCGGCTTCTTCGACGGCTTACTCGGACCGTCCGCGCCGGCCGGTTTTAGGGACAATAGCTTCCTCTTCTGCCGCGGCGCGCCGCTGTCCTCCGAGGCGTTTCGTATTCGCTTACTGCGATGCTTGGGCGCCCCCCCCTCTTTGGCAGGAATCTCGTTGTCCAGCGCGGATACCTCGTTGGGACTTGGGACAGTCGACGATTGATTGACGTACGGCTCGACCTCCGGCTTCAGCTTCGGCGTCGAGGTCGACGTTGACGCGGACGTTGTGTTGGACTCGACGGCGACGGCGACGGCGACGGCGTTCTCCTCGGTTGAGTTCAATCTATCCTCTATGATATGTTTGAAGAACGCGTACATCTCGCCAACCGTGAAGGTCGTACCGTTCCTCACGGTGAACTTGTCGATCTTCATCCTCCTGATCAGTTCCTCGGTAGCGTTGCGCGCCTCCAACATCGACAGCTTCTCGGTCACGTAGCTGTTGACGAACTCGTAGAAGCCTTTGTAATAATTCTTCCGGTGCTTCTTCTTGTCCTTCCGTTTCTCCGCGTGCGACAGGCCTTTCCTCTTGGCGTCCTTTCGATTCTGCTTCTCGTTCCAACGTATGGACTTGTTGTAGAATCTCATGATCCGCTCGAATTCCCTCTTCAGCTTGATGAATTCCCTCTGGTTGCGTATCTCAAAGTACGAGCGAGCTCTGCTGCCGTTCCGTCGCGACTCCGCCAAGTCTACGTGAAAGAAGTTCTTGCTCATGGCGTTCAGCAGGTCGTGCATCGTGCTGTTGCTGGAGTTGCTCGGTCCATGCTTGGCGTCCATACGCTGGAGCTTTCTGTACACGATCTTCAGGAAGTCGATCATTCGCTCTTCTCGCAGACGTGACTTGTTGCCGTGGCCAGCGTGCGCTCTCAAGATCGAGTCGGACGTATTGTTGGTGTCGTTTGAGTGACTGCTGACGGAGAACCCAAGCTTACCCTCCATCTTGTGCTTGGCGTGTTGGCGGCTTTTGTTCATCTCCATATGCAGTAGCTTCTTGCCCACTTTACGGAAGAATTCGATGAATTTTCTGAAACATTCATACTCAACTTTTGCTTCTGGCGCGTTTCTGCGAATTAGTTTTGTTTCCCAAAACATCAGGTTGATTCCCACAGTTTTTTTTTTTTTTTTTTTTTTTTTTCCCCCCACAGAATGCGCATCTCACTCACGTCGGCGTGCGGGCGGAAAAGATTGGCAGATTTAAAAGGGTACAGATTACAAAAAATTGCCTCGATGCGCGCTTTTCCAGCACGCTTATGGGAATAAACCCATTTTGCGAGTCAACCTAATAATTAATATTCTTTGACGGGAGAATATTCGAGCGAAACAGTCTTTCTAGTCGGACTGATCGTCGAGCTGATGCTCTCGAACAATTTATAGACATTACTCACTTGTAGTTCAAAGTGACGTTCTCGTCGTCCACTGATCTACGTCGTCTGCTCCATCTGAGTCTCGGGTGTTGCCCGAGGATGCACTTGGGCAACTCCTTGGGACTCCACGAGCCGCCGATGCAGGTCGCTCCGGTCGGACCCTCGTCGAGAACATAGCCCTTGTCGCAGTCGTACATGATCTGCTTGTTGTTGACGATCTTCCGCACATACGGTCTGTAATCGTAAACTCCCATATTGCCCACCAGGAATACCTTGCCGTTCTCGATGAAGCCCGGAAACGGGCAGAACACCTGAACGCAGTGCGGTATGTCGCCGATCCAATTGCCGTAGCGGCACTCGACAGACACGGAGGCGTTCAAAGGGCCACCGCCAACCAGCTCGAAACCGTCCTTGCACTTGAAGACCGCCTTCATGCCGTGATCCGTCTTGGGCGCTATCACCATCCCATTTCGCGGGACCTTTGGCATCTGCTTGCACCTCGCGGGCGAGCAGCTCGGCACTATGGACCAAGTGCCGTTGTTGCACAGCACCGGAGTGCTGTTGGCGGCGAACTCGTAATTCTGCACGCAGGTGACCAACAGCCTCTCGCCGTGCTCCACCACGGTGACATTGTTGATGTGATCTCTCTCGTGGCTGGCCACAATGATGTGGCCGTTCTCGATCTGCGGCACGACGCACGGTGCTAGACACTGCGGCAGAGGGTAACGCCACTTGCCGTCCTTCTGGCAGACCGACGAGGTGTTGCCCTCGAGCTTCATGTGATCCTTGCAGCGGAAGATTATGCTGGCGCCCATCCCTGTGCCTGCGATTATTAATTTCAGAGAAACGCATTAATGATGCCACGCAGAGCGCGGCCGCGCTCGCTTTTTTGCGGTCGCGTCACTTCGTCAGCTTCAAATCACACACCAGCCTCGATGTTTTCGATCCAGCCGTTATACAGCACGCCCGGCAAGCCGCAATTGATTTCCTGGCAGGTAGGCGTCTTTCCAGTCCACTTCCTGTCAGCGCCGCAACGTCTGGTCCCTGCGCCTACGACGGTGTAGCCGTACTTGCACTCGTACGATACGATGGAATTATACGCGTAGGAGGTGTAGACAGCCTTGCCGTTAACTGGATTCTCCGGCTTCGGACACTGCACGGACGTGACCTGCGCGCGAGAGATATTAAGGAACACGTTACCTTGGTTGCCTCGCGTTACTTCGCGAGCGATGTACATACACACACACACACACACACACACACACACACACACACACACACGTGCGCTCGGTTCGCACGGTAATCTCAGCGCTTTGAGTCGAGTTGAGCTTGATCTGAGTTTCTCCACAAGTTGTGCTTCTCCCTGAACGAATCAAGTGGAACATATTTGCGAAAGGACGGAAGGGAATCCACGTTGAAGTACGCGGCATAAATTTGGCAGCCGGATCAACCAACCATTTCTTCTTCACGCCGCGAAAACCTAAAATATCGGATTTAGCTCTTCGTTAATTCTTACTTGAACGCATTGCGGCATTTCTTTCGGGGTCCACGTGCCGTCCGCCAGACATAACTTCTCCGCTTTGCCAACCAGCTCGTAACCCTCCAAGCAGTGGTAGGATATGCGACAGTCGTACGTGTAACACTCGCCTTGAAGAAGCAAAAACTTGTAATGAACGGAGCATCTAATAATTTCTCGGCGTGAAAATCTTACTCGAAGAGACGACGATGAAAACACTGTCGTGCGAAGACGCACAATAGAGTGAATGTTTCGTTCAAACTTTGTGAACGGATCACTCACTCACGAGTACGAGTGACTGTTTCTTCGATCGATCAGACAAAATTTACTCTGAAGCCTTGAATTTCTCCTTGAAGCGAAAAATCGTTCATTCGACAAGTCTGAGTGGAGAATCTGTTTGCTCTATGTGAGTGAGAAAGCGCTCGAACCTGAGTGACAGCAGACGAGTGTCGTTTAGTACTTTATTCTCACTATTACGCATCTAAGCTTCGAGTGGAATTATACCGGAAGGAAATTTGGAGAAGACGTCTCCACCCGTAGCACGGCCCAGGTAGGCCAAGTAGTTAAATCCGCGTGAGACCCGACAGCTCGCGATAGTCCCGGATAGACTCACCAGAGTGCCATCCGTTGGAGACGATCGGCGGTTGGCCGCAGCTCTGAGGCTTGCAGGTGATGTCGGGCCCGTACCAGCTGGCGACGTTCTCCATCATCAGGCATTTCGCTTTCTTAACCCCTGTCGCCATATATCCATGATTGCAGAAGTATTGCACCGTGTTGGAGAGGTCGAAAGTCGTCTGCTCCGCGAGAGCATTGTGGCGCGCGTTTTGGATCTTTGGCGGCTGGGAGCAGAAGGAGCTGGGGTCCTTCTTGCAGGACGGAGTGGTGCCGGTCCACTGACCGTCCGCGCGGCACGTTCTCTCCGACAGACCGACCATGAAGTAGTCGGTATCGCAGACGTAACGCGCTCGGTCGCCGAAAAATCTCCCGGTGACTGTCATCAAACCGTGATCGATCTCGGTCAACGCCGGGCACTCGCGCTCCGGCTTGATGCACGACATTCCGCAGGCTCCGTCGCATCTGCATTTCTTCTTCTTGCTCTTGCAGTCCTCGTCGGTCGAGCACTTCCGCAGACACTTTTGCCCCATCAGCTCCGCCTGCTCCTCGTCCCTCGGGCACATGGCGGAGGGTGAGTTGCGCGGGTTTTTGTAGATCCGCCCGTCGTCGTCGACCTCGGGCTTTGGCTGGTAGCCATCGTCATCGTCCTCGTCGTCGTCGTCGTCCCAGTCATCGTCGTCCTCATCGTCGTCGTCTACCGCGGCCGCTTGTTGACGAAGTTTCGATTCCGACGCGAGAAACTGGCCACACAGCAGCAGCAGCAGCAGCAGCAAAACAATCGCGCTCGGTTTCATTCTGTCGTTCGTACGGACAGGATTCCGGATTAGCCGAAGATTCACTCTCGTCGAAGCTGTCTAACTCGTGAACGATTAGACCACACGTTGACGCCGAGGGAGACAGAGAGAGAGAGAGAGAGAGAGAGAGAGAGAGAGAGAGAGAGAGAGCGAGCGAGAGAGACAGACAGACAGACAGAAAGAGAGAAGGAGAGAAAGAAAGAGAGATGAGAGCTAGCAGCGATGAGTTTACATGACCACTCGGCTGCTCGAACTGACCACCTCACTCAGGGAGAGACCTGCGAGATGCCGATGCGCCGCAGTCTTCAGGTGCGCACGATCGCCCATCGAAGTGCGAATCCGCGCCAGAAATGCCGCTCTCAGTGTGCCGCGGAAGTCATCCCGTGCTGTGGCCGTAGACGACGTTGTTTCACTCGTGAGCGCGACTATTAATCGAGTCCACCTCTTCGCCGTCCGGGAGGATTAGGACTCGCGCTCGCTCCTCGCTCTCGCCCTCGGCACGTCGCTCTCTCTCTCTCTCTCCCTCCCTCCCTCCCTCTCTCTCTCTCTCACTCTCTCTCTCTCTCTCTCGACGGAATACTCTCTCGCACCCACTGCCACCACCTCGCCGTCTCTCGCTCTACCTTGAACGCTTTTTTCTTTATTGTATGGACTGCGGTCCCCCGCTGACGGGAATTCGCGGATATTCGCGCATCTCGCTGCGCGCATCCAGCCTGTTCAATACATCTCGTGATTCCCCCAGCTTCCAGTAGATGGCGAGGAAACGCGCTGATGAAAAAGGGTTGAAGCTGCGCAGCCACCCCTCGGCTTCGCTTGGCTTGTTGGTGGTGCTGCTACTGCTGCTGCTGCTTCTTGGCAGCTATGAAGACAGGTGTCACATATAACGAACGAGCGTTTGCGTTATTTTCAGATTCAATTTCGCTGTCTGGTCGTGGTACATTCGGCTCAACTGCAGCGGACGTAATGTGTGATACGCCCGCTGGTAGTCAGCAACCAAAACAAAATTCGCAAAGACCAGCTACTCGGGGACAAATTTACATTCGCTTTGTGCATTGAAAAATGAATTTCTACGGGATATATCCTCCTCTCCACAAACTCTCTCTCTCTCTCTCTCTCTCTCCTCTCTCTCTCTCTCTCATACTTTTGACGAAACGTTTCTACCGATGGAAAATCGCGATTGAAACGCGTAACGTGAAGGCATATCCGTGCCAGCCGTCTCTCGTTCGATCCTTGAGGGATCGTTACAGGGTTACAGGCCAAAGAAATGGAGAATTATTCCTAAAGCGGAGGGCATCCGCCGTGTAATCAGCGGCTACTAAACCCGTACCATCGTGCGCTACACCCTTGCTCGACCCGCTGAGGAGCGAAAAACAGAAGCTCCTCTCGCACAGGGCAATGTCTGAAAATTATTATTCGCGCGAGAGGCGAATAATAATGGAATCGAGGAAGGGACGAACCGGAACGAGCAAAAACACGACGCCGCGAAAGCGCCAAACGGCACGACGGTGTCGTAAAAATTACGCCGGGGGAGAAAGGTGTTGAGACGAGCCGCCGCGGCGGCGCTTGGAGCACGGCGAACTCCTTGGAGTGTGTGCGAGCGCGAACGAGAGAGCGCGCACCTGCGTGCGCGTCCTATTATCCTGAGCTTTCGAGCACGATACTCGCGTTACGAACTGTCTCTCTCTAAGAGACGTCCGCCGCAATCCCGATTTAACCTCTTTCTCTTTCTCTTTCTCTTTTCTTTTCTTTTCTTTTCTTTTCTCTTCTCTTCTCTTCTGTCGCATTCGAAACGCAACAAGTACATTTTATCTATTCGAATGACACCTGAGATCGTCCACTCTCTCTTTCTCTCTCTCTCTCTCTCTCTCTCTCTCTCTCTCCTTTTCCCTCCGGTGTGACTGTACGAGGCAATAAAGACGGAAAAACTCCCAATTTCCAGTTCGCAGCCGCGACGATTTGCATGACAAAGTAGCAATTTGCCTATCACGAAGTCGAGAGCAGCGAACGGCTGAAAAATGCGCGGGCTCCGTAAGTGCGTGGGTGATAGCCGCGAGGTGGGGGAGGAGGAGGAAGATCAGTTTTCATCGGGTAGAATCGCGAGCCTGTTCCGGCCTGTGCTTGTTAGTCGTCACGCCACCGCAAGATAATCCCTGATCTCTCTCTCTCTCTCTCTCTCTCTCTAAGTCAAGCGTCATCGTTAAAGCGAGTCTACGTCGGCCACATTGTCTTCGTAACGATAGCGATCAATCGGTATGGTTCGGTGCGCTCCGGGCGCGCCGTAAAGATTGTCGCGGTCCAATCTCGTGTATCGGCTTCATCGTTCTGTGAACGCACCGTGTGTGTCGCCGTGTAACGTCTTCATTCGTCTTATTCAAATGAGACGATTTCGGAGAACTTTCGGTCGAGCGAAGAGAAACATCCCCTTCGCCAACTCGACGGCGAGTAGTCGGCGAGTGTCAAAATGCGCGCGCGATTGTTCCTTGTATTTGTAATCTGATCGATTGCATATCAATGTACAGTCTGACGAGCTTCCGTAATAGAATTTGTATTATACAGAAGGTCGTTTCGTTGTTTTCCCCCAAGTTTTCACCAAGAAGAATGGAACGAATGGTCGCGCTCGAAAAGTCTCTAGAACGTGACGTCGAGCGTCACGGCTATATCGTACACAAGATACTGAATTTTATAGAATACCCCTAATTGCTATAAAACATACTCGCAGTCATCCTCGGCATTTCTTTGCTTGACACTTGAGAGTTGGCTCGTTTGTCTTCTTTTTCGTACTTATGTTGCCCCGATGTGTAAAACGCCAATCGCGCTTTTTAAGAAGACTGGTTCTGAAGTCATTCAGTGTCACGGTCATTTCCGCGTCTCGATGCAGGCATCAGACCGGATTGACAGAGTGGCAGTAACTCGGTAGCTGAAAATGGGAGTGGCTGGAAGACAAGAGGACAGCTCGTTCGAAAGCATCCTCGTGGCACCTCTTCGCGGCTGTGAGGAATGAAGGAGGAGCAGTGGGTCTCAGTCGAGACATGATGAATTTCGGACGAATCGCAACTTTCCCCTTCTTCCTAACGTGACGCGAGATCGTGCGTAGCGTCCGTCCACTTTTCTCGCGAGGGAAATCCGCTCGGGGACGCGAATCCCGGCGGCATCGAACGGTTGCGTTCTCTCGTCGAGGATACAAGTGGTGCACGCGCGCCACCATGAGAAACTCTGCCGCCGAGTTTCTTCGAAGGATGTCTCTTTTCGTCCTCGGTGGGCGGCACACGCCTCGCCAGCTTTAGGGACGAGAACCGACTATCAAAGTGTCGGTTTACAGTCGTGCGCCTACGTTACATGACGGTGCACCCTTTTTTCAATCGTCTCCACCACCACCGCCACCACCATCTTCCCCCTCCTCTTACTTCTACTCCTCTTCTTCCTACTCGAAAAGCTCGAATACTTTCGTAGCGAGCTGCTCTCAACTTGCGCAATTTCTCATTCTATTAATTCGTCTTGCGAGAAAGTCGTGAAGAACGCGAAGGAACATGACTGCTGAAGTTTCTCGTTACGCGCTCCGGAGTGCTCGGGAAGGGCCCGAGAGGTAGAACCGTAAATTCGCGGAGTTTCATATTTTTTTTTTCCTTTTTCTTCCTTTTTTCCATCAACTTCACCTCGTCGGGCGTGGAAAAGTACGAGAGAGAGAGGGAGAGAGAGAGAGAGAAAGCGAAAGAGGGGGCGGAGTGGGAGAAAAAAGAAAGAAAGAAAGAAAGAAAACTGGACTCCCGGCAAAAGCTACGCGCGTTTCTGCTCATTCTACAGCTCGTTACGCGACCATTATCCCCAGTCTCGCGAATCCATTATTCTCTCTTCAGCCTCTCTCGAAGGTTCTTTTGCGATTCGCGCGCACCGTCCATATGACGCTGCGGAATAATGGTTTACGGCCGTTCCCCGACGAGAACCTCCGGACTCTGATCGCCGCATGCGCGCGCGCGCGCGCGCATGCATACACTCTCGCCGAGCCGCGCGCATAATCCGGTTGCAATCTTTCGCACTCAATCACGAGGCAAATGACGCCAGTTGGCGTTGGTCTAGAAGAGAGGCGAAATTACCGGAATGAAATTGATTTGAGCAGAGTTGCCCGCGGGGGCACACGCGGGGGGACTTTTGCAACCGGACGTTTCGGCTTACGGCCGATGATTGCCCCGGCCGAGGCGCGAGCGCGTGAAAGCAAAAATTCCAACGAACAACAATCTCCGGACGATCAATCGTCGCCCCGTGATCGTTGCTTTTTCACCTCCTCCTTCTGCTCCCCCCGCCCTCCCGCCCTCCCCCCGTCCCGTCGAGCGCATTAATCGCCGAGGATGATCCGTTGCGAAAGTTAATCGCTACCGCTCGCCCGACTCGAGCGGGACGCAACGGAACGCAATTCCCGACCGTTCTGACGCGTTTCAGTCTAAAACATTGTCCGCGACGGGAAGGAAACTTTTGTCCTCTCTTTTCTCCGTTGGTCTGTCTCTCGAGTTGGTCGGTCGAGAGAGAGAGAGAGAGAGAGAGGGTCTCTCATCGCGCGATAAACGTCCCAGCGCAATTTCCCGTCGCCGATTGGCACTTGAACTTTCTTTAACTGCCAGCATCCACTTCGGTGAACGATCTCGAGCGCTCTCGAGCGTCGCGGACGCGTCCACGTCGTCACTTGCTCATTGGATCTTTATACGTCGCGGCGGCGGCGGCGGCTGCTGCGTCCGTTGCGTCCGCTGACGCTCTTTGTGCGCGACGCGCGTCGGCTACCGGCGAGAGCGCGTTCATTTGACGGATGCACCTACGCTGTGCTCGCGCGCGCGCGCGCGCGGCTCTCTCTCCCTTTCACGACCGGTACGTGCCTTGAGCCGCATTCGACGGACCGGCGGCCTCTTACGAGGCGCGCACCGACTGCGCGCGTCCAATTCAGAAGCAATTGAATTCACAATTCCGGCCATTACGAGTGTCGGGAAAGGATTACGCACACGAATGGACGGAGCGCGGGCTCTCTGCTCTTCTGCTCCGCCGCTGTGCGTGCCGCATCTGCATCCACGCATAGAGAGACCACCGGACAGTATGCATAAATGCATATATGCGTCTCTCTCCGTGCGTTGCACGCGGCGCGCGAGTATGCGCGACGTAAGCCATACGCGCCGCGTCGCGCCGGATTAAGGCACCTTCGCTTGCTTAGATAAAAGCATCGCGCCACGCCGGTGCGACGAGTCGCGCTTCTTAATTGTTGTGTATAGATATTCGTGGCTGTTTTTAATGATTTATTAAGTGACAGTTGGTAGCTCTCATTTAAGGGGACTGTGGAGGGTCAGATTACTGAAGAATCGTGCTTGTTTTCGATAATGTGATTTTGTGACGGACTAAATAAACGTGCAAGAATGAAAATTTTACATATATTTATGTAACATACGAAGAAAAATTTTGTTTCTAAACAAATATTCATATAAATATACGTTCACTTAAATTTTAAACGCGTTTTCCTC